CACGAGTTATCTGAGTATTTATGGCGTTAAGTGCTGTTGTTTTACTGTGCACTTTACGGAAACCATCCTGATGCTTCGCTGGGGTCAGGTGGTTCGTGAAATACGGGCGCAGCAAGGCCTCGAGTGTCTGCCTACGGAAGGTCTTCCAGGCGGGCTTTTGTAGAATATACCACTGAAAGCCTTCTTATTTCGCTACCTACAGAAGGTCTTTCAGACGGGCTTTTGTAGAACATACCACTGAAGGTCTTATTTCGCTACCTACAAAAGGTCTTTCAGACGGGCTCTTCTAGAACATACCACTGAAGGCCTTCTTATTTCGCTACCAATAGAAGGTCTTATTTGGCTACCTATACTTACCTATAGATGGGTTTTTGGAAGACGTAGTTCAGAAGGCCTTTTGAAGCAGTTTTTTTAAAAGTGCTGCTTTAATTAAAAAAAATACATACATACTTTTCTAAGGTTTCAAAACAGTTTTATTGCAACTCAAAATGCACTTCAAATTCGTTTGTAACGCTAAGGCTTATTAGCTAAAAAATATGAACTTATACAAAGAAATTCCTTTAATATTAAGGTATTGCAATTAGGTATCGTTGAATGCGTTGAGATCAAAAAAGTAAAAATTAACGCTTATATTAAATTAAATATTAGAATTACTTAGGAAATTAAAGGTCAATCAAATTCTTTGCTTCTTAAGCAAATGACTTGCTTTATATTGTCGACTTTTGCTCAGTTTAAATCCGCTTTTCATTTCGGGTCGATATTGCTCCCGCGTTGTCCCGTCTTCGGCAGCGTCTGAAGTATGGAGAGGACAAAAATCATTTTAAAATCTTAACTACGCTAAAAATATGAATTAACGTAATCTGTATCTTTATATGAACTTACTGAAAAATATATTAAGCACAGCTAAGTTACGGAAAGCCTTTTTCCCTGCATACCATCATAATTAAAAGATTTTATTATCTCGGGCCCCAGGAAATTTCGCTTCAAACCGCCTTTTTTATTATTTTGCAAACAGTCATGATCTAGAAAAGAAAGACAGTATATTTGTATAAATTAAATTGAGTAAAATAACTAATCAGCTTCTTACCATTTCATTTTCATCGTTATTTTCCAAGTTATTCAAATCTTCGTCAGTTTTAATTGGAAACAGCT